TGCCTAATCCATATGGTTCTTTGCCTTTTTCTTAAATCAAAGACTTCGTGAAGTTTCTCGGTTCCGCCCGCCACTACCAGGTAAAGGACAGACGCCACCTCAATAACAAGACAAAGTTCTGGACAAGGCCTTCTTTTATCTGACACGTGTCTTAATATAAGCCATAACCTTTTTTCATAGTTTTGAGTCGTAATTCTAATTTCTCTAGTTCGTCTTCTACTTAGTAATTGTATTAGGGTTTAATCAAGATAATGTTGATTAAGATCAGAATTAAACTCGTTTTCCCCAAAAAAAAAAAAAAAAAAATCAGAATTAAACTCCATTAGAATGATTAATCTGGAAACAATAATTGCTGACGGCCAGAGCAGCGAAACGTGGCTGGATATGAGTGGTTGAGAGCAACAGCAGAGGGTGAGGCGGGTCTGAGTTGGAAATTTGGATGGGGCGGTGGTGAGTAGTGTTTGCATGGTCGGTGCATGAGTCACGCTTTGTCAATTTTCTCACCATACTCACAATCATAACGTAATTTTGACACCTCGTCCACATCCTCCTCCTCCTTCATTGGGGCGGCTGAGGCTTGCAATTGCCAAGATTATGGGCCACGTGTCACTCCGACAATGGTTCAAGATCTTAGCCAGTGGTTGCCAAGATTATGGGCCACGTGTCACTCCGACAATGGTTCAAGATCTTAGCCAGTGGTTGATTGGTCACTTTAATAATTATCTACATTATCATCTTCTTGCTAGCTAATTGGCATAATTAAATCTTAAGCATTAGTTTTGGTTTGTGTAATCATCATGTACAATAGTTTAGGATGAATATCCAGTACGAGGATTACAAGTATCTCATAATGATTTTGTGTTTTTTTTTTTTTTTTCTCGTTGTTCAAATTTAGGACAATTATTCACAATTCTCTAGTTATCATCAAGCATATAATGTTTTAAGGTATATAAATATATATGTTCTATTAGATATATACATGAAATAACTCATATATACAAGTGTGAGATTAGCTCCAGCATTTTGGTTTCACAAGAGTTTGAAGTTACAACATTGATTTTACAGCTCGTTTCATATTATGTCATATGTTTACTCAACTCACATCATTGTAACACAACGTGTGCATAAAATTAGAACTTCCAAGTAACAATTTTGTACGTTTAAACAGTAATTTATCTTGTACTTCAGTAGTTAATAATTCATTATAGACCTCACTGGAATTGTCTTCAAAGAATTCAAATCAGACGCAGCCTAAAAACAAAGAAAAGAAAAAGAAAATATGTGACCTAGCTGATGGCTTGGACGGCCAACCCATCAAGTTTTATATTCCATAACTCCACTCCACTCTAATTCCACCCCCAATATAAAACCCCTCCAAACCCTCCACTCTATGCATCACAAGCACAAACAACTGGCTCTTCCAACATCACCACCTTAAAAATAAGCTCACTTCATTTTCATCCTTCTCTCTCTCTCTCTCTCTCTCTCTCTCTCTCTCTCTCTCTCTCTCGCCATGGGCAAAGACATTGAAGTTGGAGGTGGGTACTCAGCCAAGGACTACCAGGACCTTCCGCCGGAGCCGTTAATCGATGCGGAGGAGCTAGGGAAATGGTCATTCTACAGAGCCATCATAGCTGAGTTCATTGCCACCCTCTTGTTCTTGTACGTCACGGTGCTCACTGTGATTGGATACAAGAGCCAGACTGACGCTGCCCTAAACGGAGACCAATGTGGTGGTGTTGGCATTCTTGGTATTGCTTGGGCCTTTGGTGGCATGATCTTTGTCCTTGTTTACTGCACTGCTGGCATCTCTGGTAGGTTTCATCGCAATCTTAAGCAAATTCTCTCTCTTTCTCCAACCCATTAATTATTTTCATGAATTAAGTAAAATAGATTAAGCTAGTCATTTGTTGATCTAACTAGAACATTACATGTGCTAATGCATTGTTGCCAATCCACTTAAAGTTGTCCCCATAATGTTATCATTAGATGGATTAGTAATACCACTTCAATTACACACAAACTTTGATTTTGAATCTCTAACGCCAATGACATTCTGACGTAGTGCTATCAATCCACTTAAATTGTAAATTCTTAAGTTTAGTCTAAGGAGTAAGGAATGATATAGATAATGAACAATAATTAGGGTTTAGATAAATAGCACCCGTTACACATTATTTGTTATAATTTGAATGAATTAGTAACACCAGATCCATTACTCACAAAAACATCTCCAAGTTAGCATCCAACTTATTGTTTACTATGATGTGCATTGTTATATGTAGGGGGTCACATAAACCCTGCAGTCACATTCGGGCTACTTTTGGCAAGGAAGGTGTCACTGGTGAGAGCCATATTGTACATGGTGGCTCAGTCGTTGGGAGCCATATGTGGTGTTGGGCTAGTGAAAGCCTTCCAAAGTTCTTACTATACTAAGTATGGCGGTGGAGCCAATGAGCTTGCCGATGGCTACAGCACAGGCACTGGATTGGGTGCTGAGATTGTTGGCACCTTCGTTCTTGTCTACACTGTCTTCTCTGCCACTGATCCCAAGAGAAATGCAAGAGACTCCCATGTCCCTGTAAGTATAAATTAATTTTGCATTTAGTTTCAACAAAATTGATTTTCATTTGTAATTACTAACTCTAATGATTTGTTTATGTTGATAATTGAAGGTATTGGCACCACTGCCAATTGGGTTTGCTGTGTTTATTGTTCACCTTGCCACAATCCCAATCACTGGTACTGGTATCAACCCAGCTAGAAGTCTTGGAGCTGCAGTGATCTACAACAACGACAAGGCTTGGAATGACCAAGTACACACATTTCACTTTACTCTCTTTGTTACAAACTTTTAATCAAAAATAAAACTAATAGACACTAAACAGATAATAAACTGTGAATATAACACAATTTAATACTCTTTATTGTTGTCTACTTTTTTATTTAATTTATTTTTGATTAAAAGTTCATAACCAATTCTATTTCTTTGTTTTTTTTTTATTCTAATTATTTTACTTATTCAGTGGATCTTCTGGGTTGGACCATTCATTGGAGCTGCCATTGCTGCCCTGTATCATCAATACATCTTGAGAGCAGGAGCTGTTAAAGCTCTGGGTTCTTTCAGGAGCTCCCCCAACATATGATTTCTAAGAGAACTATTGTGTGTTTCTCAATGGTCTGAGAAACTTTGGATTATTCTGGAAGCATGGAATTTGTATATTACTACTACTGTATTGGTGTTGAGGATGTCAATTGTGTTAGCTTCTGTCTATGTACAAAAGGCACTCCTTTTAAATGTGCCTTAATGTTGCATTCTGCTATGTTTTTTTATTTCTTTTTCCTTTTATAACATGATTTGAGTTTGTTATTGTGTCATCAATTACGTTTACTTAGTGATGACTTATCAGCAAATGCATTGTATTATTGTGTTGGCACTTCCATAGCTAAATTCCAATAGCAGAACAAAGACATCTGCACAATAAGCAAAAACATATTGTCAATCAAGCAACAAAAACAAGCCCAAAAGGATAAAATAAAAGCAGAGACAGGACGCACAAACTACAAAACTTACATCACTAAACTAGGCATGATTTTTACCCAAGCCCATAAAATTCAAAACAATCAAAGCTCTAAAATAACCTAACTGGCAGAAATGAGAACTACCGCCACCATTTGAAGCACCGCCATGTTGAATATAAGTCCCACATCAGGGAATTGAGAAAATAAAGTAAAATATATAAGTGTGTGGTTTTACTCTTAGTAACACCGAAGTCTTTTGTGATAAAACTCAATACCTAACAATAGGTAGTTAAATTGAGACAATATTTGTGTGGCTAGGAATGACAATGGCCCCTCTCTCAATATCTAACATGGCAAAGCCAAACCACCGCATTTTTTTTTTCCAAAGGTTAGAATTTCATTATATTTGAATTGAAAGGTTGACATCAGAAGTCAAAGTATTAAACAACCATTCTGGCTCAAAACAATCCCAAACATAAAGGCCCCCCTCCCGTAAGGCGAAGGAGGCCATTAGATGTGTTGCCGTGTTACAAATATGAGGAGCAAAAATAAAATCCACTGATTGCAGCCACTTATTCACATATTGGATATCAAGAAGAACAGCTTCAATTGCAACATTTGGTTGAACCTTGCCATTAATCATATCCACAAGTCCCTTAGAATTTGATTCAATATGAACTGCATCAAATTCCATATCAACACAAGCCAACAAAGTTGCCTGCACCGCTTCTACCTCCGCCATTAAACTAGATGCACATGGAAGAACTGCATCAAATTCCATATCAACACAAGCCAACAAGGTTGCCTGCACCGCTTCTACCTCCGCCATTAAACTAGATGCACATGGAAAATTCTCCTCCCCCTGCCCCTTTAAAAATCCCTACGAAATCCCATGCCACCCATCCATACCCTCCTCGTCCGGACTCCTTTACCCATACACCATCACAATTGACTTTCATAATCCCGAACGGCGGTCTCACCCAACCTGAAGGAGTCTCATTACTAACCTTATGGTGCCCCTGTGCCTCATCCACCAACTGTTCACTTTGTTGCTCCGCATTTAGTTGAGAACAAAATGTAGAAATTTATGCCATTTCCTTGTGTTGTACCTGCTTCCATTTGTAGCTTTCAGGGCTTGTAAATTTCTTTCAATGGGTTAATGCCATGATTGATACTTTGGGTTAATGTCATGCCCTAATTATCTTTAAATCTGCATTAACTGGTCAAATTGAACATTACAAATTGGACAAGAATACAAGGCAACCCTTTCACCATTACACACATATAAAAGTCGTCACCTTCATTTCCTTTCCACTAATAAGTGGTCTTGAGTTCGACATTCGTTTGATACCAAATTATTAGGACCGACTATTATGTGGCTTAACCTAATCCCCATCAGTTAATGTAAATATATCGTTTATTAAACAAAGTTGTCACATTCACTTAATTACTCAATACCAAAGAATAACAATCTCACACACATTCAAATGAAAATTGAATCCCATTATTTTCCCACCAATTAATACATTTCCCAATGGTAACTAATATCTCTTCTTTGATCACCTCTCTATATATTATATGCCACTCTCCAAAATCTCCACAATCTAGCAGAGACTTTCTACATTCTCTAAAACCCTAATCTCCAAAACCATGGAAATATCTGAGTTCTCCAAAATATGCATGATCTGTATCACATTGCTCTCTTTGCCAATGGCTTCACAACAATCCCCACAAAGCTTACTCACATATAGGGGTGAGTTCGGTTCAAAACGGTTCGGTTTTTTGCCAAAACCGAAACCAAACCGAAATTTCGGTTCGGTTCGGTTCGGTTCATTTTTTTTCGGTTCGGTTTTTTTCGGTTTCGGTTTTTTCCAGTTCGGTTTTGGTTTTTTTCGGTTTTTTATTTTTATTTTTAAATGATGTAAATGGAAGTAACCTACCTATCAACCTCCCAGTTCTCATATATCAGAGAATTGAGAGCCTCAAAGTCCTGAATATATTCAAGTAATTCAACTACTTGTGATCAAGCAGAATGAATTCAAATTTTCAAAAGTTAAGCAAATACATAAACATATATTCTTCAAGGAAATGTATATCGCCAGGATTCAAAATTCAAAAACTTTAAAATTTACAAAATCATGAAATAACTCAACAAATTAACTGATCGATGCAAATCAAAAAAAAAAAAAAAAGCAATTGGGTTCTTCTAAATACCATAATCGGACATCAATAGCGCATGCCCAGTGCCCACATTCAAATTCATAATCAAGTCCACAATAGATCTAGAAAATTCCAAAACATATTTAGAGAAAAATACAAACTTTTTCACCTTAAATTACATAAATTTCAAATGGGTAACCATACAATTAAAAACCTATGAACTAACAAATAAATAAAACTACAACCTTTGTTGCAGCGATATAGCCATGATCGTCGCAAGCTCTTTCAATTCCTCTTTTTGTCGGATCTCAAAAAGGGCGAGGGAAAATCATGGTTTGGAAGAAGGAATCCGCAAGGAGGACATGAGAAGATTGGAGAGAGAGTGATTTGGAGGAAGAGAGGAAAGAGAGGGAGAGGGAGGGAGAGAGAGAGAGAGAGAGAAAGAGAGGAAGCAAAGGCAAAGAGGAAGCAGCAGACGGAACAGAGAGGTGTTTGAGATCTGAAATGAAATGGGAGTGAGACAGCTAGGGTTTGTAAAGTTAAGAAATTTTATAAAGCATTAAACATAAGAAACCTATAAATAAATTACTGGACAATTATAATAACACAAAGCCTACAGTCAAGTTGGCTTGCAACAACCAACCCCAACCCGTAGGGAAAGGGTTCAAACCTTGACGGCAACATGTATTTTTTAGTATTTATATATGATTTTTTTTTCGGTTCGGTTCAATTCGGTTTGGTAGTTTTGGTTCGGTTTTTTTCGGCCTCGGTTCGGTTTGGTTTTCGGTTTTTTTCGGTTTTCGGTTTTTTGAACCCACCCCTACTCACATATGACACCATCCTTACAGATGATGAGACGATTTCCCTAGCTGCTGCTCAATCTCCATCACAATCTTCTTACCCCGAAAGCCCCTCTCCTGAAGCCAGAGGCTATTTGGCTTCTTCAACAGATCCAGATGAATACAATCCACCACCACCACCACCACAACCTTACATTGACACATTTGCCCCTGAATCTCAAAACAACCAGCTTCTCTCTCCAGACTACTCTACTTCCCCTTCCCCCGTTTACCTCAAAGATTACCCTTATGCTCCTTCATACATTGAAGTTCAGGCTCCTGAAAGTTACTATGGCTACAGTCCAATTCAAGCTCCAATTCCGCCACTGTCTTCTGAAACGGGATCTTCTCGATTTTTGGATACTAATGATTTGACTTCTCCTCCAAACTTGGCTCCTCAGCCCTATTGGCTTCCAACTATAGAGCTGAGGATAAGAATGGTGAGCTTGATGAGCTAGAATCTGATGAAGCTTATAACTCTCTGACTAGAATAAGAACAAATCAACAATGGCGGGTTTTGTGCTTAGGGCCATTTGCTTGGTTGGATTGGCAGGTTTTGTGTACAAGAAGAAGAAGAATAGTAAGTCAAAAGCAGATTATGAGTAAAAATTGGCTAAGAGAGAGGATCTCTGAACCTCTTTGCCAATGCCGTCTTTGATTTTGGAGGTTTTGTGAAAAATTTGTAAAGGGGTCTTCTTAAGATAGTTTTAAGTTTTTAAAAAGTACGATAATGTATTGATACTAGAAAACATTCACTTAAATCAAAACAAAGTCACTTAGTACTACAGTCTAGTCGTATTCCTCTTCACTTGTAAGTGAAAGGTCCTATGTTCAATTTTCGTCAAAGGCGAATTTAAACCACATTATTATTAGTCCATTGTTAGGCTTAGCCCACTCCCCCACCCTCTTAGCATAGATAATATTGTTTATTAAAAAAAAAAAAATCAAAACAAACTTTAGCACTCACTGATTGCATATTTACAAATGTCCTCAATGATAGGTAAAAAGAGCTACAAATATAACCTTCACTAAATAATCAAAAACAATTTTATCTTAAATAACCAAACACGAAAATAAAAACATCAGACCTCTAACTTTAAAGTTCACTTGAATATATAACGTTGTTATATTATAAAATTAAGAAACTGTCGTTTTCCAAGGTGTTATTATTAACACTCAAAATATCTAATTGTACTCCAAGTTTTTATATTTAGAAAGAAAAAGAAACATTCTTATAAGAAGTGAAAAATGCGGTTTAAAGTGCTAACAAAAATAATATTTTAAATATGGAACACTATTACATGATGTTAGATGACAAAAATTTAGGGACCCTTCCAAATTTGAGATCCTATGTGACTGCACTTTTCTCTCCCCTCAATGCTCCCTCTGCTCTCTGTCCAACTTGGTTTCACCTACACTCAATTGCGTACACTTTTCGTATATAGACATATACATAAATTCTTTATGCAAGACATTTGTTCTACATCGGAACTCATAGTTGATCATCAAGTTTTGTAATCGAACATTTTTCCTGGTAATTTTATTACTTTGCTTAGCTGTTCCTCGGGTATTTGCATGTACTATTAGTCTATTATTGTAATGAACTATGTAATGAAATCTAGCCATGCTTAATGCGGTAAAGCATTTACACCAACTTATGAAGAAAAACCCTAAAAGGTGTTGAGAATTAATCACAGATTGATGAGAGACCTTGCATGAGTTTGTAAAAGGTTGGACTGCTCCCTATATTGCCAATTGGTTTTATTGTAGGACCTCAACTTTCTTCATGATATCAGAGCAAGTTGTTTCTCGTGTGAAGTTCAATGGCTACATGTGCAATATGTTATCCGATTTATGTTGGTCACGTGTTAAGCTTGAAAATTCGTCACACGTGAAGGGACGTGTTGGTGTTAAAAATAAATCTCACATTAATAAAAAAACATATTACCAATTAATTTTACGATGGAATCCAATTTTCAACTAAATTTTCTTCAAAAGGTTCACGTTGTGCACCCATAAGATTGGAACTTTTACTTGACCAAAAAGGACTTGGAGATTAGATGTACACGTGTACAGCTCAGATAAGCCCAGAAGCCCAATTCTATTGTGAATCGCATTAACGTCACCGTTTGGATGCGGGAACAAGGTCTGTCACCGTCATCTCCGTTTATACATATCGCATCTGTGCCCCCGCATTCTTCTGAATCTTTCACTTCCACTTCTCAAACCGACGCTGTCTCTGTCTCTGTCTCTCTTTCCACTTTCTCTCTCTAAAGGTACTGAATTTGCGTTAGTCTGTCTGTATTTGCTTTATGTGAAATTGCTTTGATCTATTTATGTGTAATTTACTTCAGTTTCTTGAATTCTTATGAGAAATTTGAAAATTTGTGGTACTTTGAGCTCCGATCTGTTTGAAGTTACTGTGAATTGAATCACTTATTCAGTATACTGGTCTGATAACTGGATCTATGTATTTGCATCCAGATCGATTAATTATTATGTGTAAATGTAAATGTATGAATTGGGTAATCAGAAGCGGAAAGGAATATTTTTTTTCTGAGAGGAATAATTTTAATGTGCAATTACTGTTTTGATGTGCCATTCGTGGCTCAAATTTATGATTTTCACGATTTTGTTATATTTTGTTTGAGTTTTTGTAAATTGGGTTTTGTTCAGTGTCTTAATCAACTGTAGTTTTTTTCCAGAAAATGGCATCCAATAGGGGTCAAGGTGGAATTCAGCAGTTGCTTGCTGCAGAGCAAGAAGCTCAGCACATCGTCAATGCCGCCCGAAGTGGTAATTTTTCGTAGTTTTACTTTCTCATTGGTCCCTTTTGTATATTGATCGGTTAGGTGTTTGTTTCTGCCCTTAATTCAGATACTTGATGTGTGAATTTCTGGATTTTCATCTTGCAAACAGAATTGTTTGCAGTGTATATTTACTGGACTCTTGCAAAATTGTGTGAAAAGATGAGTTCTTGATTTTAATTGGAGAGCAATTTTTATTTTCTAAACAGTGATATATTGTGTTGTCAAGATATGAATCGAGACCGTTATTTGGGTGAATGATGTATGAATGTGCAGTCCTAATATGCTCATTGAATTTCTTATAATTATTTAAAATACCCCGACAACTGTAAATTTTATAGAAAAACACCAAGAGCTCAATTGGAGGAAAAAAATCATCACCTATGCCTGAGGTATCGAGTTTGAAGTGTTTTTCTCTAAAGTCTGATGTCATAAAGTGCTTAGATTTGAGAAGTCCTAAATTTTACACCAAAAAATAGCTTGTTCAGTTGTTTTCTAAGTGCTTTGCTGTTTGATCTTCTGTTAGCTAAAATGGCTAGACTGAAGCAAGCCAAAGATGAGGCTGAGAGGGAGATTGCTGAATACCGTGCCCATGTGGAGTCGGAGTTCCAGAAGAAAGTTCAAGCGGTATGTATATGTTGGTGAAACCTATAAGTTCAATGTTCATTTGGTCTGGCAATGTGCTTGCCAATGTCATTTTCTTGTGTTTCTTGCAATTCCTAGAAAACTAACATACCAAGCATGAACATACGGTCGGTGTCTTCCCCTCCCCCCCCCTCTCTTCAGTTTCTATTATCACGAAGCTATTCCTAGACACTTGTTACATTTGTACTAATTACGCCATTTCCCCATGCTCTCATGTGGTGACCAAGCAGAGCAGTGGAGATTCTGGTGCTAATGTGAAGCGTCTTGAATATGAAACTGCGGAAAAGATCAATCACCTATCAACAGAGGGCTCTAGGATTTCGAGTGAGGTTGTGCAAATGCTCCTGAAGCAGGTGACGACGGTGAGAAACTAATCCCATTGGTGATAAATTGTAATTTCAAACTCTTTGCAAGGATTTTATTCTTGTGCCTGATTCATCATCCTAGGACTTGTGTTTTTGTTGGTATCCTCGTATCGGTTATTTAGTAAGTTGTGGAGCATTTTGTTCAGAAAATAAGCTTAATGTGTATCATTTTCGGAAGAAAAAAATAATGTTGCAGAAATTGTTGGGCCAATTGAGTGAAACTTGGTACTAGTTACATTGTATCCTGTTTTAGTCAGTGGAATAGGGCTTCATTTGGCACCATTCATGTAAAACTTATCAAGTTTTTCGAGGAGTGGAATGCAATTTTAACAATTGTTATGAAGTTCGGCTGCAAGTCTCTTTTGAACAATTGATTCGGGGATTTGATTTTGTACCGGAGTTTCGTTTCAAAGAATTCAGAACTGGATTGATCTAAGATTTTCAACGACACGGTACTGTATGTGGTTAGCTCATCTCAGTTTCTGAAGTTCTAGACGGTTTTGAACGTTACTTGGCTGATCAGCCGGTTATTGGGAACGGTAAGGTTGTAAGGTTCCTGGGAAACGATATTCGTGGAGTCTGAAAACTCATGGTGACATCCTCTAACGAGGGAACCATGGGTTGCATGGTTCCTGGGAATCGATGTTCTTGGGTTTTGCTTGTTTCGTTCCGAACGAAGTGAGGCGTACCGGTGGGGGCGCTGTAGGGAGGCCGACCACTACATAAGCTAAAACACTATGTTCTCTATCGGCAGTTTTCCTAATAAATTTAATTTAAACTAAATCTCAAAATGAACTGGTTTACTGTTCATAAGCACAACGTAGTTCTAATTTTGTCCCTGCTTAATTTTTGTTATTCTCACCCTATTTGTTCTTGTATATATCCCATTCCATTCCACCGCTCTCTCTCACTTTCATGCGACTCACCACTGTGTTATGCCTCCCAAAGACTACTGTAAAACACAGGCTACACTCCTTCCAACCACCACATGTCCTTGGAGGATAATAAAAAGGGCTTTCTAAAGAGCATATGTGGATTCAACATATGTAACTTAGGAGCGCATAGCGACCGTAATGGTCTTTCGCATGCGCAAGAGTACATGTAGAAAGGCTAGATGCTTTTGGTTTAGTTATAGTAACATATTCCTTGGTTCCAGAGTTGTGCTTACTACTTCTAATCAAAAGGGGAAAAAAATACGCATGTTGAAGGCATCTATTACAAAGATAGGAGGAAAGATGGGTGTTGGCCTCTCACAAATTCGTTGGAAATGAGTGTTAGTCATCTAATACGGATGAGGCTCATTATAACAGTTTTATATGGGTGAGCCATACGGAGAGGCTACGTATATTTTATATGTTTATCTATATTTGTAGCATCGGGTTAATTACACTACCACACCTTGAGATTTATCGAGTTTTTACAAAACCCTCTCACGTTTGAAATATTACACAAACACCCCTTCAAGTTTTAAATCACTTTCACATAGCTCCTTCACTCAAAATTCTACTAACAAATTGACAACTTTCCCCTTATAATTAATTACATAAACAATACAAAAGTCTTTATAAATATATATAGAAAAAAAAGATTAAAAATATAAATAAAACATTAAAAATAGAAAAACCACCGCTCCATGAAATCTCCTCCCTTCGATTCCATTGCAAGTTTTTCAACCCTAGCCACCCCTCGGACCCTTCTTTGTGTGTTTTCCAAAACCACCACACAAACCACCACTCCAACTTTAACAACAATTCTTTTTTTTTTTTTTTTTTTTTTTTTTTTTAAACTTCAACAACAAATTCAAACTCTAAAAAATGAAGAACAACCACCCCTCGCCGACAAAGCTGATATAACGGGACAAGAAGACGTTGACAATCCAACGAATAAAGCCAGTCTTGCATCGTGGGTAAAATTAGATTTGTGGTCAGCCAATGTGCATCGCTTAGCCGTTGCGGATTAGATCGATTCATTTTAGACCATCACATTTGCATTGTGGATTCTTATTTGCTACAGTCATTTGCGTTCGTACCCGTTTTCCCAATTTTCAGATCCAACACTTTAACATCTCTTAATTTGACTCCATCTTCCATTTACACCTCATCTCTCTAAATCTGTTCGAAATTTTTGTTGGATTCTTTTGGAACGTTGTTTAAGCGTTTAAGTTTGATGATTTCATATGGCGCGAAGTGTGCAATGGGTATAACATAAGGTAGAACTAAACGTAGATGTAAAACTTTTAGAAACTAAACTGTATAAAAATTTAGAGTTCAAAGAGAATATATATTTTGTGCAAGGTAATTGGGTCGCAGCCTCCACTCTGTGATGAAGAACTACAACAATAGTAATTTGCTAGATCTTCACCCCGTTATCAAGCATTAAATATTTTGTGACAATTCTTAATGTTTAATTTAGTTTTTAATAATTTCATTTTCTATATATAATTGTAAAGATTTCTTTATTGTTAATTAAGTAATTAGGGTCACTTAGTACTACGGTCTAGGGGTATTCCTTTTCACTTGTAAATGAGAAGTCTTAGGTTTAATTCTCGCTAATAGCGAATTTGAACCATATTATTGCTAGTCCATTGTAAGGCTAAGTCTACCCCTCCCTCTTAGTGTAGATAATATCGTTTGTTCAAAAAAAAAAAAAAAAAAAGCAATTAGTTATAAGGGTAAAGTTGTCAATTTATTAGAAGAATTTTGACTGAAGGGGTTATGTGAAAGTGAATTAAAACGTGAAGGGGTGTTAGTGTAATGTCTCGAACATGAGGGGGTTTAGTGAAAACTCGATAAACCTCATAAGGTGTTGGTGTAGTTAACCCTTTGTGCATCATTAATCTAGTCTTGTCATTTTATTTTAATAGATAACAAGGAATAAGTATTAATTATTGTCAATTACACGTTTTTATTGAAATGTTTTTCAAATAGTTGTTACGATAAATTAATTTTATATTTTATATTTTTAGATAAGAAGGAATAAGTGTTAATTATTGTCAATTACATGTTTTTATTAAAATATTTTTAAATTAGATTGTTGCGACTCTCACTCTCATGTTTTATTTTCCCACCCACTTCAAATTAAATATTCTTGTTTACAAATTTATCCTCTTGCCAAATGACTTTGAAGGACCCAAAGTAAGACCTTAAAAAAATCCATCTATAAAAATATAAATTCAATTTAAATTTATATAAAGAAGAAGTTTAGATAAAAAATAAAAAAAAAAAAAAAAAAGAAAAGGAGGAAGAATACTAGCAAAACCCTACCCAGATCGTCCCCTGCATCCCCTTCCATTCTTTTTCTTCTTCTTCTTCCATATCCACTACGGGGACCACTACTCGGTATTGGTGCTTCCCACCGCACAAGCGACAACTTCTCTCGTTCAAATCCAACCCGCAACAACCCTCACCAGCTGGGATCCAAAGTGAAATTTTCAAAAAGTTGTGAGATCTCAAGCTTTCCCTTGATATCACCGAAAAAAATTCCATTGATAAGGAGTAATAGAACCAATTCATAAGAGGGGTGGGGAGATAAGAAACTAGGCACAGTAGCACTCTTAAATTTTTTAGGTCAAGTAGTTGTTACTACAAATTTACCTATACGTTGTAGCTTTGTTCATTTGTGATTGAGATTGACGAGTGTTTGATTTCATTAACTACTTTATAGTCATTGTTTCGATGTAATAAATTTTTTGTCTTTTTAAATAAGTGGTGTGCTTCTGCTTTTCTACATTTTTTAAATGCAACTATGCAAAAGGTCAATTTTCTTTTTCTGCTAGTGAAATGATATTATGCATTAGTTATATCTGTTTGGTTTTAATTTTTTTATAGTTATAGATATTGTTAGTGTGCATTTGGTTTGTTTTGTTGGGGGTATAGATTTAGTTGAAATAGTATTTATTTTTATTAGTGTTTTTCTTCCCCTTATAGCTATCAGTTTCATGTTGTTTGACAAACATGTACAATGAGAGAGTTTCTGATTAGTCTATATGATGTAAAAGTATTTGATTAAAGAAAGTAAAAACATAACTGCATGCTTTGTTTTAGTTTGGCTGTTTTATTAATTTGTTAAACTTAGTTTTATCAAGAGGCCAATTTTAGCTGGAATATTTTCACTGAAGTTGATAGATTGAAGTTGGAAAGAGACAATTTCAGTCCAAATGGAGATTAGAGAAGGCTAAATTCGACTAATATTTAAATTTTGCTCATGATATAATGCTTCGTTTTCTTTCTCGGTCATGCATGACTTCTGTAGGTTTAAAGCATGTTTAAGATCCTATACTACGACCCAACTTCAAATAATTGGTATAAATTTTCATAATTTTGGAATGAATGGTATATTGTCAAATGGACTATTTCAGTTGGATGTTTAAACATGTCTTACTCTAGGGCATGCTTACAGTTTATTGTAAAGGAAAGGAAAGATTTATATATATTTTTTTCATTTCTTATGCAAGTGATTATTCTTATATTTATGAGTCTGGATAATAATTTCAATGTCAAACATCTATATGTGTTTAACATTTTTCTATTTGAATTTTTGGTTGATTAACTGAGTTAATTTGACAATAATAAACCGGTGGTGTAAGTGATAGTTTTAATGAAGTCACTAGTAGAAAAAATAGCTTGCACAAGGAGATTTTGCGCGATGAAATTTTATTTCGTAGCCTAAGTGGCACATGCGCAACGAAAAAATATATTTGTCGCGCAAAAATGGTAGGAAAGGGGAAAAAAAATATGCGACGAAAGTATTCATCGCGCAAGAATACTTCGCGCGAAGAATACTTATTATCATCGCGCAAGAAAACGCGGGAAAATTTGTTTTGCCACCAAATGTTTTAGTGATGAAAATTTCCACATATTCGTCACGCAAAATTTCACTGAAATGGTTAGATGCCTTCCAACCGCTCCCATTTACTGCTCATTTACGATGCATTTTGAGTGATGAAGTGGTTCGTCGCGCAAAGTGTTCCAAGTGCTATATAAACACAATTTCAAAACCCTAATTTTCACATTTTGTTTCAAAGGTAATGGCCAATTCGGGAGAAGGCTCTCGCGAAAGGAAAGTTGTATTGCGAGTAGAGAGGTACGGACGTAAGCAAATGCCCTACTTTGAAGACAAAAGTATGGTTGATGCGTATGCCGAACTTAGGTTTGATAATGGGGGTTTGATGCGAAGGGAATGTTCTTCCAAGTTTGAGTCTTGGAAAAAGGAGCATGAGGAGTTGAAAAAGTCCATGCTGGGGGAGTTATCGGTAAGTTTGTATTAAATAATGTATAATTATTTTTGTTAAAAATTAGTATTTTTTAAATTACTAATGTATTGCTATTGGCATTAATGTAGGTT